ACACCCCTACTCTTTTCGAACTGGCTGGTTTGCAGGTCTTTATCCACTGAGCAGCAAGACAGCAGCTCTTGGAGACCAGCAGAGAGCGACCTAGAAACCAGCTGAACTATAGAGCGCAGTGCAGTAAAGTTTCCTCCTGGGCTAGATGTTAGTCTCATGCGTTCAGGACTGCAGCCAGTGTGTGCAACAGCCCACCTCCAGCGGACAAGAGCTGCACCATCATCTCGCCGGAGGTACCTGGTTGTTCTCCTGCCCGGGGGTCACGCTGAGGCCTGCGGCCGCCATGTAGGTGCTGCCGATGGTCTTGATCTTCTCCACCCCACTGAACTTGGGTTTGGACAGGAGCTGGACAGGAGGACACAAAATCACAAGGGTTCAGAGCTTGCATCTTTGCAGCGTGCAACTTTTAATTCTTCCCCCAGACCTGAACACATTTTTTTTATGCAAGGAAACAGTCAGTCATGCTGCACGCTGGCTTGACGTATTAATGTAACGTCAGCCGGGATAGCAACTGACCTCATCGAAGTCCGCGATGATTTCATTCAGCAGCCTCAGGCACTCCAGCCCCTCCTTGTTGATGTCGCACTCGGTGTAGAACTCCTTGAAGTCCGGCACGGACGCGAACATCACACACACGCAGTCGTACGATTTGTAGTACAAATCCTGAAACACCAGAAGAAGTGACACACCCCCCACCCCATCCCCAGCATCCACTGTTAGTATCCTAGTTCCAGCGGACGACCGCAACAGCAACAAAAAAAGACAGAAAACGGCAAAGTGATTTAGACTGCAGGCAACCGGCAGCACTCTCTTGTAATGGAAATGAAGGTGCCGAATGAGGAATGAGCACACGCTGCCGAATACAATACACAAAGACCTTCCACACTGCCTGCAGCAGACACAAATGCCACACAGGGAGGGAATATAAAGGCCTGTCTGCTTACCTAACTGACACTAAAAACTCTGTCTGCATGTGGCTCAATTAAACTGGGTACTAGTTTCCTGCAGTCTGGACTGCAAAAGTAAACCAGGGTTTTGCTGTCTCGCAGGTCCAAGTGCCGCTGACAGAAACCTACACCACGAACAGCCACTCTTCTCAGCTTCTTTCTTCCGAAGAGACCTTCCTAGTTCCTCAATTACTTTTTTTCCCACAAATGCCAATCCATGCGAAATTCGAGCAGAACACTTCACGCCAAGGCCCTGTGAAGCACAGGCGCCCAGCGGGTCCCTGCGTGCTCAGTGATTTATAAAACACACCACAGGGGAGCAGATCTCGGCACCACTTGTAGCGGGTAATCATCAACCACACCAGGCAACCGATGACAACTGCCTGGGCTACTAGTGTGAGGAAAATGCGAGAAATGATCGTTGAAAGCTGTAAAATTCCAGAACTAAGTGTCGCTTTTTATCGGATTACATTACTACTCACTTAAAGCGCATGTTATGTAGAAAACGAAGCTAAGGCACTGTAAACCAACTCACCTTTATATGTGATTTACCCATGCTAAAGTATAACATAAAATTAAAAAAAACACATTGATGATATAAATCCTGATATATAAATCGTAGCTGCATTAAAAGTGGTTTACATTTTAAGTTGGGAGGGGGGGTTGTGTCGTATTTGAGCTTTGTATCGGACTATAGTTTTAAAATGAACAGGAACTGACTGAGCAGTAGATACAGTACTTCACTCTGTGTCCCAAGAGGCTGTCCTGTAACGCCCTCACTCCGAAGTGAGCAATGAGTGTGGGTGAGCGCTGTGCCCAGGCAGTTCTGGGAAGAAAGTGGTTTTCCAGGAGGCTGGGTGGCGATGTAGGTGGCAGGCTGGAGCACAGACAAGTGATGTCACAATGGAGGAGGAGGAGGAGGGGGGGGCAGGAGGAAGTCAGGACAGTGACTCAATACACATTAATGAGCACCAGGGCTGCACTCAGTCCACATCCCCGCACACTGACCGCTCCCCTCCAGCACAGCGAGGGGCGCCCCACATGGACAACAATTTCAATTTGTCAGTGTGGGGGGACTGGAAACCGACCGCCCATCCTGATGTCAGAAAAGGGGAGAGAGGTTTGGGGTGGGGGTGTTCGCTATCCACATGTCAGTGGTGAAGTACTGGCACACTCCTGTGTGGGACCCCTACCTTATACTTTTCAGTAAGGAAACTGTTTTTGAGGAATCCCACCTCGTTCTTTTTATTCTCCCCCACGAACAGCGCGGCGACGTGCGCAGGCAGCACGTTCTCCAGCAGCAGACGATTGAGGTTCTCCATGGTCTCGATCTCGTCCTGCTCCTGCCGGTTCTTATTCTTGAGCAGGAAGTCCTGGCGGCAGTAGTACTCCATCTGCCCAGAGAGCAAGCGCAGCACAGTGTGTTCGGCAGTCATCATGCAGGAAACCCACTCCGGGCTTCTGGTGTGCATTCTACACACGCTCTCAATCACCAAGGTGAAGGATCACATGAATAATATTTTACACAATTAGTTCTGCATAATTGCTTTTGGCTCCTGGCCAGTTGCAGCTGTAAGGCTTAAGCGTTTTACCAAGTTACGTCATCTGGACTGTCAACCAAAAGGCACACAGGCACTAAACAAAAACTCAGAACAGAACATTCTTTTTTTTTTACACATGGGGCTATGGGAGTCTGAAACCAGCTACCCAGCCATGCAGTTCAAGCCGATATCCTGGCTCCTTAAGGAACATACTGCAAACGAGATCTGGCCCATTTGCAGTTAGTAGTTAATTGATCTGAGGATCTCATGCATGTGTTTCCTGAATGGAACCAGCAGATCTGCTTCACTTCCTCCAGCACTTCCACTCCAGAAACAGGGGCGCACAGCCCGAATGGTCTCCGACTTTCTTCTCAAGACATCAGACAGTGGGGTATGCGTGCAGCTGTGCCTACCTGCCTGGTCAGAGTCAGCATGGTGATCAGGAAGAGCGTGATGTAGACACAGCTCATCACCTGAGGGTCCTTCATGATGCCCGACTCCTGGAGAACAGATCCGTTACTGGAAGACAGGAAGGAACATCATGTAACCCAGTGCTCTCTCAGGCAGCACTGCTGCAGAGAGCTGAGCCAATTCGGGATACAAAACAGGCATTGTAAGTGTATTGTCCAAGACAGGAGAACCAGTAATGGAATTTCAGACACAATCCAATTTACACAGCTGTAAACAAACACATTTACCTTTATTAAGACTACCACAACCATAGATCGCTTCTGATTTCCTAAGGACAGGTCCATAAAATTGTTATTTGATTTATTTGTGTTTTTAAAAATGCAGTTAATTCAGAGAGCTGGAGTCTCAAAACAGAGATGAAGGCATGCCCATAAATACACCAATACTGGAAATCTATACATATAACTCTTAACAGTTTAGTAAATGTGAATACACCATTTGAATTTTCTGTTACGTACTTGGGCAATTTCGACTTTGATGATACTGAAGTAAAGGACAGATATATATTAAGGATTCTTCCAGCAGCTAGTAAAAAACTAATTAAAATGCTTTATAAAAGAACCTCCAACACATGAACAATGGGTTAATGTTGTGAATGAGATCTATATAATGGAAGAAATAAACTTTTCTTTCTAGACTTTTTTGTTGTTTGTTGTGTTTCTTATCAAACAATTGTATTTTTTTTTGTATGACCCTCCATACCTGCTGGCACAGTGTAAATAGTTCATTTTGTGCAGTATATACCCTGTATCAAAAATGTAAGATGAAGGCACATGTTTATTCTGCTGTTTTGGTTATGTTCTGTTTGTAAACCCTTTTATCGCTAAATAAAAAGATTATAAATAAAAATAAACAGAGATGAAGGCGGCACAGAATGCCCACGAGGCAGCCAGTGGTGTGTGCTGGGGCTCTGCTAGGGTTGTGGTACAGGGAAGGGGATCTCACCTAATGTTGTACAGCACTTTGCTGTAGCAATCGAAGAGCTCCTTCTTTGAGTACAGGATGATGATGTAGTAAACCATGGAGGCCAGTGTGAGGAAGGTGAGTTTGACTTCGAAGCTGATGCGTAGGAAGACCCCACAGGCCACCAGGCCCAGAATACAGCAGTACACAGAGTACTGAGGAAAACAAAGAGGATATTACTGACATGAAAGAACTCTTTCTTTTTCAAGACCAGTCCAGGACAATTCAAGAAATTGTCCTTGTCCATTATAGTCTCTGAAACTACTGACTGAACTTGCTTTTCGATCTAAATATTTTGTTTCTGATCGCAACACAATTGGACATGACTCTGTGTGTGACTTTCTTGACACTTGACACACATCCTTGGACACTCAGCCCAGCTGACAGCAGCACACTCAAGCCCGACAGTCAGCTGTGTGCCAGTGTCCACAGACACATCTTCCTTTATTAACGTCCACAAGGTAAATCCTCAATAAATACTAAATACTACACTCCGAGACAGCAGTGCAATGCAAACACAACAGAGCTGCTGACTCTTTAGTTGTAATAATGTATTCAATCAATCATTCTGTATGGTATAGCACCCACCACAACACTTTTCCTAAGAGCGGTTCATAGTCTTTGATTGCAGTTAAAAATATAACAGTATATAACAACAGTAGCACAGCTACATAAGCAGAACATAACTCTCAGCGGGTGAAGTCTCTGGAGGTCCCAGGGCTGATGGGTGCCCCCTCTCCAGGCAATGTGCTTGTGTTGCGTTAATTATGTTGGATTGTGAGCAGTGTTTCATTTGTCATTTACATACTTTAACCTAAAGCCACTTACAGAAATAGCAGGGATCAGCTATGTCTCAACATCTACCACTGCAGAGTTCCTGACAAGAGGGATATACTACCAGAGTGTATCAGCTTTAGAGCTCAGGCAGGAACGATAATCAGATGAACAAAGCCAGGCCTTTAACTTGGAACTTCCTGGCACCCAACCCCCCACCTTAAGCCTTTACCATCTGAAAACCTGCACGCCTCTGGGAGTGGGTGGTACTCACTGGCAGGTAGAACAGCCCAAAGTCCACGTTGCTGCTGTCTGAGGCGTTAGAGGGGATGTAATCGGGGTTGCACCGGTCTGGCTGAGTAAAGATGCACTGCAGGAGGGAGGAGTGGGACTCATTCAGCTTCAGATTCAGCTGTTCATGAGCTGCATCATCTTGTTCTGCTTTCAAATAAATACCCACCTATCTCTTCATACTCCCTCAAGACTATGCTAAATTAACCAACATAGGCTACTCACAGTACCCAAAAAAACGGTTAAATAAGCAGACAGGGGTACACTTGATCAAATCTGGTCATTGCAAGTCCCCACACTCTGTTCAAGAAAGAAATCCCGGTGCATACGAAGAGATGGGGAGGAGAGCGCGGTCTTTACCAGGTTGAACACGGCGATGATCAGGATGACCGCAGTGGAGACGATGGCCAGTGGGAGGCGCACAAACGTCTTCTTTACCACAGCCTCAGACATTGTCCCCAGCCACTGACAGGAAGCCAGTCTCTCTGGGAAACACCGCTGTCCAGAGGAGGAAAACCAGAGAGGAAGAGAATGGGGAGTGTGAGGAGGTAGGAAGGGTGAAACGTACAACTGTCGAGAGTCGCAGCCCTTTTCTGCCCAAGTACAAACAACCCACAGAAAAGGGCTCAACAAGCTGTCGTCAAAGCTGTAGTGCGTCTCTGTCCAGCATGGGAAGCCTGAGACTCACCAACAGGTTTCCAGCAAAACAGATGCTGAAGGTAAGCAGGAGGACACAGGCCGACACCCCAAACGATACGCCCAGCATCGTAGACCTGGGGGCACAGGGGACAAGAGCACAATTACAGACGAGAGGAGGCAGTTCTCCACTTCTAGCTCAGTGATTCTAGGGCCACATCCAGCTGTTTCTTGTAAGAAATCAGGGTATTGTCTTCATTACTCTGCTCTCCTCCCCACTGAGAGCTGGTGTGTGGGGAGCGGACTGGAGCATCACCCACGTGGGGCTGCACACTGGTGGTGGTGGAGGGGATCCTCATTACCTGTAAAGTGCTTTGAGTGGAGTGTCCAGAAAAGCACTATATAAATGTAAGGAATTCATAATAATAATGTATTATGTATTTGGTAAAGAAGTGCCTCTTATTTTCAGTTTCTCAGCTTTTAATGCACTTTCACACAGTTTCCACATGTCCTCTGGTTTGTGTTTCAGGGGTCGTTCTGAGCAGATCTGCATCTGTAGATGGGTTTGAGGATTTTGAACACCAATATATGGTTCGTGTCAAGCAGTGCAGACACCCTAACAGACTGCCCAAGACTTTCTTTTGGTCTGTACTATGCAAGGAACCGCGAAATACACAACAAGGAGCTCAGGTGTTCTTGTTTCTTGGTAGATTAGAACATGACACTGGTCACGTCTGACACTGGTGCTGGTTTCATTATTATTTCGCCACTCGGACATAGTCTGCCACTTCACAGTAGCATCTTGAGGAAGAAGGTGAGAGAATAAGAAGGCTTCTTTTCGGAGGATGGCTGGTATTCAACAAGGTGAGGGAACAGGAAAGAGCTGTAAGCCAGTGTACCGATGATCACAGGGACAAACATGTTGTGACAAAGAGCACAAGCATAAAATTGTCTGGAGATGGGATTAGATGCGCCCAGATCACCCTGAAGCTCTCTCCTCCTATTGCAGGATGACCTGCTTGCACTCGAATTAACTAAATTGAAAAAGACTGGTGCCCTAGTGCTTACTACACTAAGTGCCTTACTACAAAGGAATCAACTCAAGGTGGACAAAAAGTCTCCTTTCACCTCTCTGACTTTAATGTTACCAGGCTGACTGGATCCCTTGAAGCCTACAGGAGGAGAAATCACTCACTGTTTTGCCACAAACATCTGGACCACGAAGATGCAGAAGAATATGAACGTGGCGCAGGCAATGTAGTACTTGAAGCCAGAAAGATCGATGGCACGATACTGCAAAAGAGAAGCCGCAGGGCAGACAGTAAATGACCATGTTCGCTCTTTACAAGTGATTTCAACCATAGCCATTGTATTGCTCCAACTGACATCACCCTGAAATGTTTCTCTGCGCTGCACAGCTGTCAGATGGATAGGATTGCCTGTGCAGATGTCTACAAGCAGAGTTCCTATCTGAAAAACCTCAACGTGGCAAAACCATAGAATGCACTTAGCATGGTCCTGTTTATATGCATACTTGCTTCCACTAACCTGCAGTATGCATTACAGTTCAGAAGTTATAAGCAACAGAATGGTCACCCTGTACATAAGTAACATACCTGCTTTTCCAGCTCTTTCTTAGTGAACCACAGGGTGAGGCTGAAGATCTCCTCTGATTTAATCCACTGCCTGAGGAAAGGATCACCAACACTGGCATGAGGACCTTGGCTGTCATCCTGTCTGCACATCATGCTCTTCTGACAACAGGCACTGCCGATCCCTGGATTAATCGCTTTCCCAGATCCCTTTTCCCTTACTAGGCTGTTGTCTTCCAGGTGCTCAGCTCAGGTTTCCATAAACTGGAAATTTGTATTCCCCCCATCCCATGCAGTTTACACATGCCAGCCAATTCAGCGTAATGAGCAATTGAAAAACATTAACATGAGAGGTCCGTACTTGCTAGAGCTGAGTCCGTCAATGGTCATGATCATTTTGTTGTGAAGCTCCTCGTCGAACTTGCTCTTCTGTGACTTGTTCCTGCAGAGGGGAGAGGTGGAGAGAGTGAGGCAGAGTGGACTAAGGGGTGCACAGTGTTGTGCTGCCCAGCCATGCGGGTTAGTGCTCTGCCAGACCATGACCGTCCCGCAGCCCAACACCAGACACTCGTGCGCAGTGCAGGGCGAGTGTCACTCCGCGGTCTTGGCAAATTAGTGCGAGAGAGGCAAGAGTGAGATTCTTGTGCATTTCAGAAAGGGACTGGAGCATGCCAAACACACCTTGGGAAGATAGCAGCCTAACCAAAACAGATCAAAACTGGTACTGACGTGGTGGAGGGGGACCTCTAGAGCATTTCCGGACACCACACATTTCTTGTCTAAGTTTCATATACCGAAAGCAAAGGTGAACTTGGTCAGGGGGTAATAAGGGGAGATCTGCGCACGTCAGAGTTGTTAATAGCCATGCTGGTTGTTCTGGGTATGATGCCAGTCTCTGGAGGGCCTACATGTCCAGGAGGACAGACAGACAGGAAGACAGGTGAGTGTTAGTGGAGCTCTGCCACGTTGCCACTTGCTTCTGGAAGTTGGGAGTGAAGGCCGGGCAGGGCATGCCACTCACTTATAGCTGGTGAAGGGAGAGGCAGGGAGGTAGAACAGCTCCTCGAGAGATTCGTCCAGGCTGCCAGAGTGGACAGTGAGAACAATCACACACATTGAACATCTCACAGGGACGGGACTGGGAGTGCACGATGACCACCGACTCAACACAGTGAAGCCAAGCTACAAGCCCTCAGCCTGGCGTGATGCCCGGGCCTGTTCTTGCAGTCCCACCAGGCTGGGCACACAGGCAGCACGCAGTCAGACAGGGACAGGAACAGCACAGTAGAATCACAGCACAAACAGAATCACAGATGACATAAGTGACATCTGCTTTAGAGCATAACTACAGTGAAAAACAATTAGGTCTCCCAGCACCTCTGCCCCCAAAGCCACACTGTGTTACTAACAGCTGCATTCTAGTATTTCACAAGCTTTTGCTTTTTTTTCTTTAAGACTTCTGAAGGTAGTTCACTCCAACATAAAGGGTCCAATTCAGATTACAAGCTATTTCCAAGCATTTGTCATACATGCAGAATAGCTTTGCTGTAGAGTGAAAGAGCAAAATAACATCCCAACTTTCTGTGCCTCCTGTGTCCCCGATCCCTTAGCCCCATAATCAAACACTACTGAATGCATTCCGTTTACTACTCCATTACAAGGCATTACACTCTGGAATAAAATAAAGGACCACTGGTCCTTTCAGAGAAATATAAAGTCAAAAGCTGTGTCATAGGAATCATACAGAGCTGGTGAAAAAAACAGCACAGAGTAGAATTAGAGGTCTGGACCTGTGACTACAAGGTAACTGCGATTTCAATAAGGCTCCTCCAGTTAAAATACCCAGGTGTGCAATTGGACACAAATGTAAGTCACTTTGGATGAAAGCACCACCCTCATTTCTAACACTGTGGCATTAAGCATTAAGCATTAAGCCTTCCAAACAACAGGTGAATCCAGACACCTCCAGGTTCTCTGTTCATCTCTGAATTCCAGGGTCACTGCAGATCCCAGAGCGTTCCAGCGAGCTTCTCTTCTGTGTTTGGACTGATATTGTGGCCGAATTATTTGAGCAGCAGAAATGCTTACCTGTCTGTGGTCTTTGGGCCAGAGATTGATCGCAAGGGCATGTCCTGAAAGTGAGAAAGACACACTTAAGTATGACTGGAAAGACCTGTTTTTTACGACAGGAAAAAGTCTCAACTTGCAGAATCATTGTCATTAATGTCAGAACTGAGCAGTGTCAGACACTTCAGGTTTATGTGCAAACGTCATTCCCTCAACTGGGGAAGGGGTTCCTTTAGCTTCAACACCCCAAAACTCAAGGAGCACTGCCGGTGAAAACTGAGAGGAGCCCGTGTCCGCCGAGCGGCATGGCGGGGGGCTCTGGGGCTGGGGGTACCTTGCGCAGTTTGCCATTGGCGAGCGCGTCGCTGGTAAACCCCTCCCGGCTCTGCAGGTGGGCAAAGGGCTTGGCGGCCCCCCAGGACTCCAGGTAGCGGGTCATCCTGACGGACGCTCTCATCTTCAGCCCGTCGTTCACTTTAGGCTTGGGTAAGTGCCGGCTGTTGGAGGACTGGTCCTTCGACTGGGGGAAGAAGGACAGGTAACCGTTAGAGACGCACCATTAACCTGAGCCCCACCATGGGCAAAATGGTCGTCTTTCTCAACACAGAGGTACAAGGGGTCCTCGCGCTCTAATACTGTCTGTACCAGCCCTGCAACAACACTTAAGGCAGAGAGACCAGACACCATTGGTGTCTACTCCATTGTGGGCTTGGAAAATGGCGAGACTCCGCAAGACAGCCAGCATGACCACACCACTGGGAAGAGGAAGACAGTCTCACGATGCCTCATGTCTAGACTCCACCCACCATCCATTAGAGCTACGAACAGCAGCTAAGGACCATGACAGAAAAGCCAGGCCCCCAGCACTTCTCCGCTGGGAACAGATCGGTCTCCAGCGATCAGGCAACCGGCGATCTAACTGCATGTGTAAGATGGGAGGGGAAGCAAGCTTGTGGAGTTGAGCCCCTCTGACAGGAGGGCGCTACCTCCCGGGCCTGTGGGTGTGCAGAGAAGCAGCGCGCGGGCTGAGGTTCTCACCCGGGGGTCGATGACCAGGTAGGTCCGGATGTTCAGCTCTTTGAGGTAGGGGTCGCGCAGGTGCCCGTTGCCCTCCTCCACCTCGTAGGCCTTGTTAAGGTGTTTCAGGGTGGCGTCTGTGATGTGGACGCGCCTGCAGAGAGTCGCCAACAACCACAACAACTTTCAACACGGCAACCTTGCACTCTGACTCAAGATCCTGTATCTCCGGGGGGGCTGGGGAGCAGCAGCATCATCTAGCCCCCAGTCCTAGGCCAGGAGCTAGGCTCTGAGTCTTGTTAAAAAGAACAAATTCAAAATGATCATTTTAACTGAGCGATCTAAAATATGGAAGACATGGAAGATACGTTCATTTCAGAGCTTTTGATTCTCCCCTGCATTCAGGATTCTTAACAGCCGCGCGCTTGTGCCACGGCCATGACCGGCCTTCCCACAGGGCTGCACTCACCCGGGCAGGCCTCCAGACTCCATGTGATTGGCTAGGGTGACGTCATGTGACCACACGTCGAACTGCCACTTGCGGAGGCCGATGACGCCGCACAGCACGTTGCCCGAGTGCACGCCGACCCGCATGTTGATGTCCACGCCCGTCGCCTCCCGCACCTGCCTGGGGACACAGGGAGGCACGGTCACGCACACCTGCGCCACATCTGCCAGACCTGGCAGCGAGCTGCACTTTTCGGCTCGGCAGCTCCCCTGCATGAATAAACACCTGGCTACAGCGTCGGCAGCTGTTTCCTGATCCCAGCCACAGCTGCTGTCCATGAGCAAAACACATCCCCACTGCTCAGGAGGAGCGTGTCTCTGACCTCTGGCCCTCTGTCTGGCAGGTGACAGCCGCTCAAGTCACTGACCAGCTGACAATTCAGGAAACAGCTGGAAGGAGGGACCACCATGATCCTGGCTTCACATCTGGGCTGATGGATTTGTCAGCTCTTTGCAGTGCACTAGCGAGGCCTCACTTGGAATGTTCTGTTCAGTGTTGGGTCTCCACACCGCTCAAGGGATATTCTAGCAATATCCTCAGAGCAGCAACAAGACAGTTACGGTCTTATTAGACTGTCATGTGTGAAATCTCGCCCATCATGAACGAAAGGGACTGAGAGATCAGCCGTAAGGTCTGAAGGAGTACAGACAGGGTTAGGCCAGGAGATTTCACACTCTGTAGAGAAACAAGGACCCATGGTGTGTGAGACTAAGAAGGAATTTGTTTAGGATGGAGAACAGGAAACACTTCTTTGCACAAGAGGTTGAGGCTAAGAAATGTCCTGATGCAAGTTTAGTTTTGGTTAGCTACTAAATTACCAATGGCGTTCTCTCATTTCTGTCCTTTCTTATTCAGATGAGGTCATGTTCTGATAATCTAATAATAAAAAGTAATCACTATCATGTAGATCATGCCTAAAAATATATAGTCTACAATATAAGGCAAAACATATATCATTCAGATTATGAAAAATGGGGTTTGGGCTGTCCTGGAGTGGTAGCAAAATGGAATAGCCTAATCAACTGCAGTGAACCTTGCCTTTTAATGTGTTTCTCAAAACATGTTAAAGGGGGCAAATACCTAGAAATGTGTTTAAAATAGCATTAGTAGCCCAACCTACTTTTCTGAAAGAATAGAAACAAAGTGCTAGTTGCCTTGGAAATATAGTATTCTTAAAACCCCTTGACTGTGACAAAATCTCTGCACTTTCCAAAGAACCTCACAGCTGAAAAGCTCAAATGACCGACCAGTTTCAGGCCTTTTGGTAAAAGGCATCACTAATTATTAAGGTATTAATCAATCTTAGAAAAGAGCAAGAGAAGGAAAGCAGCTATACGGGGATTTTACTGCTCTTAGCTAAGCTGACACTGTCCTGCAAAGGAGCATGACATGTTTTAACATCATTAAAGAACATGGTACAAAGCCAACAGTTACAGCTTACTGGCACTGCAGTAACTCAGGATGTGTCGAAATGACAGCAATGACTGTGCATTTAGTAAAAAAAAATGCTTTTTTACTCTAATAGAGTAACAGTCTTTAAGGTTAAATTTGAAAACTATGTAACTGTACTATCTAGTGCTATAACTCAGAAGCCCATGTTATCCCCTGGAATGTTTACAGTACACCACAGAGACCTGACTGCACTATGAGCTGGTCCTCATGTTTCTTACTCACACTGAGATGCCTTTATACCTTAGAACCTCTAAGGCCTTTGTACTGTGCTTCTGTTGCCCAAGAGTCAGTTTGCTAAATCTGCCAGTTAATGAGTAAAGTATCAATAAAATGACAGAAAGTTGTAGAAATGTAAAGATGATTCACATGGGATCCCTCATTTGATCAGAGCTAAGAAATGGACTGAAAATGCCCTCTAATCCAGCAGCACACAAGACTGGCCCCAGAGACCCTGTGGAGTTTTCAGTCTATCGTTCTACCCAAGCTCTCCATCTTCCCAACCGGACAAATCCGACAGCCTTTCCCAGCATGTTGTTCCAGACGGTTTGACCCTCCAGGATCCGGGCAGCCGTTGTGCAGTGCCCACTGCCCTGTCTGTTCCTTCTGCCCACTGCCCCCCCCAGTCCCCTGCACTCACTTGATAGCCTCACACATGTCCAGGCCCATCTTCACACAGTTCTTGGCATGTTTGGGCAGAGACACTGGCAGCCCAGACACACAGTAGTAACAGTCTCCTAAAATCTTTATTCTCATGCACTCATTTTCCTGCAAAAAAAAAAACAGAACACCAGTAAGAAATCGGTATGACCTGAGACCTCCTTCACCTCCTCCAGTTGCACAGAACACAAGTACGAACACACTGACTCCACTAGGCCACTTGCTGAAAAGCGCTGCCCACTGAAGCCCAGGTCTGAGGCTCAGATTCCTGGTCTTGTCCACAAAGTAACACCCTGAACACAGCAACATGCTGCTAACACTGACAATGAGAGCAGAAGAACTTCCATTCAGCTCTTCAAACATGCTCTCTTTTTGCCAAAATACATTTAGGAATGCAGGAGGTTATTTTCAGCAGTGTTGCCAGGACTCCCACACATTGCAAGGCAGAGAAGCTTAACACAAGTCCATGTCCATGGTACATAAAAAGGCAAAAGGTGCCAGCTGCCGGCTGCCCCTTGCAATGACTTGCCTTGGCAATCTGGTCAAACTTCCCAAACAGCTCGTTGAGCATGATCACCAGCTCCTTGGGTGAGCAGTCACTGGCCAGCCGGGTGAAGCCCACGATGTCGGCGTAGAGGATGCTACAAACGACAACCACACGAAGGCCATCAGCGGAGCATGCTGGAGCCTGGCCTCGCACAGCCATGCAGCTGCAGGGCAAGAGCTACAGGATCTGCGAGGAGCTGATCTGTGCATGTGATATACGCACAGATAAACGATTAAGGCATCGGCTAAAATAAGAAAAGTTCAAGCAAAATAACAAGTGACCTGTTGTAATTTGCAGAATAATGTACAGCCAGGCTAGTGGAAAGTCCAGATTGTCCATCTGGGCAATCCGTGCAGGCATGGCCTCCTGTTGCAGCTGCAGCTGCTGCAGCTCATAGCAATACTGACTTATGAGCGATCCCCTGGTCTCCAGAAAAGATTTCCCATGCCCAGGCAGTGTGACAGTGCGAGCAGCTATACTGCATCTGAGTGGAGCTCCAGAGTACTTACTCCTGGCTCCCAGGACCCCAGTGTCCTGTGGGCGTCTTTCCTTGTTTCTGAACTGATCACGGGTTTAAAGGGATGAGGACTCTTCCATTTCAAGGGGTCTCGTCTCTGAATCTCCTGGGCGTGTTTTCAAGTCGAGCGTAAAGTAGGCAACTTGAATTCTGCAACTGCTACAGGAGCCGAGAACATTTAAAAGGCTCTAATTAAGTAAATTATATTAGTAAAGGGTTGTTTCAGTAATTGAGAGCTCATTTGGAATGAAATACAGATCTGGAATGAGGAACCCAAAGGCAAGAATGGACAGACCCTGTTCCAGACCTTGTGTCTATCCACTGACTTGACCTGGGACAGCTGCCCTGTAGAGATGTTAATGAATGCCCGGTGTTACCACCCATCTACAGCAGAGCAGTTACAATTGTTTTTCTCTCAGCCCCTTTCTGTTTGTTTTCTGTCCTTTGCTCTGTCGCACAATTGTCTCTCGTGATGGTCATGAACTTTTCCAGGTCACGTCATCCGGGCTGATTATACAGATCAAAGTAGGATTTGCTGTCCCCCCCCCCAATTTATTTATAATGATAAATGGAACAATCCTTATGACAATTTCCACAAACCTTAAATCCACACAGCTAAAAGAGAGGTCTGGTCCTCACAAAAAGGTACTGTGCCCTAGGAAACAAAGCCCTGCACACTCTGATCTCTCTTCAATTTATTTTTATGGCTATTCAGATAAGGGCTGGGTGGGAGCAGTCTTCTAGCATCTATTATCCTTGCCATAAAGATAACCTTGATGTTGACTTTTCCTATTGTTGGCAAACAGCTAATATTTAGTCTGCTAGCCCAATCGCTGAAGACTCAGAAGATAGGGCCTCACAGCTCTTTAAAGTTTCTTCTGATTCCAGCCGACTCTTCAGCGGGCACACACCAGCGTACAGCACACAAACCTCTCCTGCAACCGAATTCTGAGGCTAACTTTTTTACCAAGGACGGCAGAAATAAGCATGCATTACATATCAAAGTCATGTGACGACGTTGTGAAAAATGTCAGCTGAGGTTATAAATAGATCTTGTGAAATCCTGTGGTACAAAACAGGAACGCCGATAAACACGGAGAGCCTACTCCATTATACAGTTCTCCCACCTACAGACTATTAACTCAAATAAAATACAAGTCCTGGGAGGAAAGCAGAAGCTGCTCAAGAACAATGGGGTAAAAACATCGGAAAAACCTGAAAGACTGAAGAGTGAACAGAAAAGAACAGAGTGTGGGGTTTTCAGTAGCAGCTACCTGACATTCTCGTGCCTCTTGACATAGAGGCTGTGGAAGTTGTTGTCCTTGACCACACGCTGCTGGGCGTCCCTGTCCTCGCACTCTTTCAGCCTCTCGATGATGGCCAGCTTCATCTCCATGGAGATGTAGACGGGCAGCACCGACTGCAGCAGGTTCTCCTGCACAGAGAGGGGGGCAGCTCTCAGGAAGTGGGGGGGGTCTCCAGTGCCCCTCCACTGCAGGCACACCACCACGCCATGTGGGTGAGTTTACCCACAGTGGGATAACAGGCTCTGAGGGCCGTTTACTGTGGCGCATTGTGGTAAAAGCAGAGTAAAATGTAGCACAGAAAAGTAAAATTACACTGAGAGAGGGATGTGCTGTGACACACAAAGCAATGGAAAAACGTGGTTTAAACATGGTGTAATGGTAAAGTCATGGTAAAACTCCAGACATACCTTGCAGATTAATCACAGGAGGTTTAAAGGATAATTTTCTGCTATTCAGAACCCTATAGAGGCCAGATGCCTCTCTCTTCGCTCACTGAAGCCATGCTCTAGTCACTGGGTGAGTTATGATTGATGGATATGCATTCAAAGTAGGGAAACCGCCCAGGAGATATGAAAATAAACCTTAAATATTGAATTCCCTCAGCTGAGGAAACCATGGTTAAGCACTGGGCCTGTCAGCCCTGAGTACAGCAAGAGAAGAGGGCGTGGTGTCAGCTCCAACACACGGCAGGAAATCAGAGGTCAGCTGAGGTCATCCGGGCTGGCTTTCGGGTGGAATAAAGGGCACTGTGCCATCTTGAAAGGCACAACCAGAAGTTAGCTTGGATGATCAAATTGCCAATCTGCCGTTCCTCTTTTACTGTTTTCAGTTTTAGGATCAACCCTGCGGCTAATAACATTTGCTTCAGTTTTACTGCACGTCTGGGGATGTTGCAGGTGAAATGCAGTCATTTGCACAGCTAGAAAGGCCTTGTTTTCCTATAGGTACTGTAGAAGCCAACAGCAGTAGAAGTATATTTAATCAGTTTCATGTTTCATAGCTCAGTTCTCCATTTACAAATGACAATTCCTCTCTCTTTTGCAGTTTAAGCAATCAAGAATGAAATGCTATTTCAGTCTTAAAACTTTCCGGCTAACTGTATTGCAGTTTACCTTATAGATTGTTCCAGGCAATTAGACAGCAAAGAGTTTATGGAAGTGCCAAGACTCAGTGGCCTGTTGGAATATTTTATATTAGGTTTATTTATTCACTTGCCACTTCTATCCAAAGCAGCGTCCTGGGATATGAGCTCACAACCCTGCAGTTCGGAGTCCAGAGCCCTAACGAGAGCAGTGCACCACACTGCTGCTTCTGGAACACAGGACGTTCCTTTGCATGGGCCTGAACTGTGGAAAGCTATAGGATTTCTCCACACCAGCGTCTAAACAGGCCAGCAGTTTATAGAAAAGGACCAATAAGCTGAAATAAGCTGACTTTCCTAAAGAACAATGTCAAGTGTTATATTCTTCTGATAAATATGGAGACCTGTGTGACTGTTCAGCTAATTGTGACATTTTAAAGCATTAAAATCATGTTAGCCTCCTCTGCTCCAGCTGAGACTTCTCCTGCTCCTGGGAGCTGGGTTAAAGTTAAAGGAATCTGACATTTCGTAGGACTACAAAACACTGTTCCAGCACACCCGCAGGCTGATGCCCCGTTCCCCCAGGCCAGTAGGGGACACACCTGCTGTCTCTTCTCGATCTCCAGCTTCATGCGGATCTCCAGGCAGCTCAGCGTGTCCTGGAAGGTCTGCCGCAGGGCACTCTCCATCAGGACCTTGTGGAACGCGCCCACCGCATTCCCACACAGGAAGATCACGACATTGGACAGCAGCTGCAGGCAGGAGGGACACATGAGATCGGGGGTGGCGGGACCGCAGGTAGACAGAGTGAAATACAGTGACAGGCAGGCAAGCAGCCGGACACACAGAATATCCTCTCCTTAGACAGAAAGATACTTTATCGTATACGACTGTGGACATTTGTTTTTGGTTTCTCCCATAAAAGTACGAAACACACAAGCAAGACATAAAAGTCACACAAAATCACATGAAGTACATGAAACCACAACAACAGTATGGAATACATGAATAAACAGGTGGGGAAGGGGGACTACATTTACAGACTGATGGGAGCATTATGAATTGAGAATGGAGTGGGTGTGTGGAATCAGCTGTAATCTCCTTGTCATTCTGAGAACTGTATTGTGAGGTGGGGCTGCTGTTTCCCAATTATTTTTCCTGCTATTTTCACAATCCTGGGACAGTTTGGTTTTTGTTTTGAGCCCCAGGTTTCCATACCAAACTGTCACGTTAAAATGCCAGGGTGCCCTCAACAAGGCTTTTATATGACACCTCTAGGACATTTTCACTTACAATAAAGTTCTTCAGTCTTTGAATTAAAAACAGCCTGATTATACCTTTCTATTCCTGCTACAAATCCCGCTGACAAGCACGCACTCTTCCACTTGTTACTCTTCGGCTAACGTCTGCCATGTGACTTCAGCTTTGCACACTGACAGCGAGGTGGAGATGCTACATGGTGCTTATAAACATCACGAGTCAATCGAAGCTTTAGTACTTTCCATCACTGTCCCTGGAAACCTCTCGCTATTAGGATCAGCCCACTGACCCATTTTAGTCTGTGGAAAAACCCTCTGAAGCATGCACATACACACGCAGTTTAATGTTGCACACTGAATGTTCTTCTCTAGCTATCTAAATCTCCTTAGCTGGGGGACGGCATTAAAAAAAACTAGCAGTGCATAATGCCTGGATTAAACAAAACAAGCACTGTCCTTAATATGACAGTGTAATCATGTCCTCCGGTAACTTGACCACAAGCAGATTCGGGGCCGGCCTGAGATCCCGTGTTGAATTGTGGTGGGTGTGACAGATTATCAAAGATGCACACTAATGCACGTTCAAAGAGCTAAACTGGCTGTCTGGGATCTGTGCCCAAAGCTGTACTGTAACCAATGCAACCAGTCCATTCAAACACTGAACACTGTCCTCAAAGGAAAATGACTCAAAAGAAAGCACAGTTTGCCCCTTCTCCTGCTGCCCAGTGTCATAGAGCTTTAACAAACCCGAGAGTGTTCACTGGACAGGGAGTGGACAGGGTCAGCCTTGAAAGCAGGTCTGGTGTAGCACACATGCCTGTACAGACTGTACAGACTGTATCTGTCCTGTAGGTCAGCTTTCCAATGTCTCTCTGCTCTTTAAGAGCACAAGGACACAAGACAGGTCACAAACGACAGGAAGCCATTCAGCCCATCCAGACAGCTGGTATAGCTGGTAGCTTATATCCAAGGATCTCATCCAGCCATTTCTTGCAATAAGGCAGAGCTCTGGCTTCAACACCATGGCCTGGCAGCTTGTTCCATGCTCCTTTTAATAAAGAAGTGCCTCTTGTTCTCAGTTTTAGATCAACTTTCAAATTGTTTCCACTTGTACCCTCTGGCTTGTGTTTCATTGGTGGCTCTGGAGAAATCCACCGGGATGCCCTTGAGGCTGTGATCTTATTAGGGCCCCTCACAATCTTCTAGACTAAGAAAGGTTCAGTTCCTTCAGCCTCTCAGGGTAGCAGTACGTATCACTCTGCTCCTCTCTGGACAGATTCCAGAGCGGCAAGATCTTTTCTATAATGGAACGACCAAAAATGGAGTGCAAGGTGTGTGTCCTCTGGTGAGCATCACTCTGGGTGACAAGGCCACCCATCGCAGGACTCCTTTAAAAGGAGTGGAGTTGAGCAGAGGCCTTCATGTTCCATGAGCACAGCCGGGATCTGTATGGGCTCTGCAGACACCTCCTAGATCAGGGCTACTCTGCACATGGTCCTGCTGATGAGCTCCACTGAGGTGCTTTAAGACAACGAGGAAGCTCAATGGTACACTGACCCTTCATTAATGAAGGAGCCAGTCAGAGCAAAGCTCTTCTGCGGAAGACTGGAAGGGCTCAGGCCTGAGCACCCCAGCTCCAGTCAGTCACAAGCTCCTGGCGGGGAAGGCAAATTCACCACAGCCCACTCAAATCTGAAGCAAAACATCCCGAATACAAGTGCACCAAACACCAAAATGACACGTTCTGTTCTTCAGAAATATAAGAACACTGATTAAAGAGTTGTCTAAGGAATAAATGTCATCATTGCTAATTATTTCCTTGTGCGCTGCCTGCCTGAGGTTTTTTTTTTTGCTGGAGCTCAGGTTACTTGATTCCATTTGCAAACTGACAGCCAGGTCTTTCTGCGTTTTTATGAGAATGTGCACTTCAGAGCTATTTTAGATCTATCCTTTTTACAGGATTTGCCAGTCTGATCACCTTCAGCCTCGATTGTGTTATCAGAGTGTAGTGGAACTCACAGAGCTCTCGCACTCTGGTGAACTTTTGCATCAAAATCCAAATGAAAAGTAGTAGCAGTAGCAGTAGATGCTACTACTTAATAATAATATAATATAATAATAATAATAATTATTATTATTATTATTGTTAGGACACGCGTTTTAAGCAGAACACCTGAAATCAAACATTAAACATCAGTGTGAGCACACCTAGCAATAAATCCATGTAAGGGATATCAGGGGCAGAAGAATTGGAATTATTTTCTTTTAAAGGGCAGTACATGAAGTGCATCATAATAGACGCTCAAGCAAGTACCAGATCAGCTTTGCTGCACAACACCAAGATGTGATACAAAATATTGCAAAAAGAAAAAGTACAAAGAGTAGATGAGTTTGTCTAATATATCAGGACTACTGGAATATCTCGTGTCCATGTGCATGACCTTTTTGTTCCTGCTAAAAGGTACAGTACAGCTCTTTCCATGTGGGACTGGAGCTGCAGAAATGTCTCCGCCCACTGTCCAAACAAACAGTACCTGATTGGCTAGAGACTCCGAAGGGGCGGGCCTGAAAGTGGTGAGAGCCACACTGAGGACTATGATGTGGGACAGGGAGGACAGGACACTCAAGATCACAGCGTCTCTCATCTGGAAGGGCAGCATCGTGTAAATTGTGAAGATGATGAAGAGGAAGAAGGGCACCTGAAACGGAAGGAGAGAGTTTTGTCCCACTCACAGAGCCACTGAGAGACGACACTCTGGAATACAATCTCACACAATCTACAACAAACGTCCTACACACGAGTGGCAAGAGGCGGATAAAAAGTAAGAAACTGTGGTAGAAAAAAAGACCCAAAGTGGATTAGTTCATACTTCCGAGTCTTCTGACACCAGCTCTCCTCTTGTCCATGTTTTGATTTCTACGCGTTTGTGAAATTACAGGCTGCGATGACCTAAACCTTTGATTGGTGCATATTTATACAGTCACCACCCGCTCTCCAGAACCCAGGCTACATCTGTCACCTTTTAAACAGCAGAGGAGTTAGAAGAGCAAAGACTCATAGAGTGGATCTAAACCACATTTAAGGCACAGACCATTTATAAACTAATCTGGTGTTTTAGGATTTTTATGTAAAATGCTACAGTCTCCTATGCCAAGACAAGACTGAGATCACAGCTCGCCCTCAACCCCCAGCTCCTCTGAGATCTCTCCTCCTCTTAAATGTCATATATTGCGCTTTCATGAGCAAGAGATTATATTCCCAATCCTATCACTCCCTAATCCCCGTGTGCAACACACCCAAATTCGAGTCTGTCTCAGCAGGGGCTCGGAGGACCACCTCTTGCCCAGCATGGGTAATCTGAACTGGGTCTGCTGGAGGAAATGGTTTTCCTGCAGTCGAAAGTGAGCATTAAACCATAAACCAACATCCTGTGCACAGCAAAAGAGCAGCAACAATCATATGACCTTAATGAAGCGCACCCAGAAATACACGTGCATGCACAAGGGATCAATTAGCATGTGATTAATTAGGGTCTGTGACTGGCCATGTGATTGCTTTTGTTTTTTCTCCTTTGCTATATAGGCTTCTGCTTTTCACCTGTTGATCTTCACTGGCATCGGAACACGGAGAGAAAGACACTAATTGTCTTAATCTGATTCGGAGACAGATGGATGCCTGCACAGCCCCACAGCAGAAGTCGTTAAATGCCAATTTCCGATCCCTGCTGGCTTGCAGTTCCTGTGTGCTGTGGCTGTCTTTCTTCAGTGAGCGATGCTCAAGCTTCTCTTCACCTTACACAGACCCAGACCTGTCTTAAAGACACAACGTACTCTGGAAGAGTCTGTCCCATCCTTTACCAATATCAAGCCTTTTCAGATTTCAGTCCATTTAATGCTATCCTCAATTATTTATAAATCCATTGACAATTTCTTGCATGTATATAATGCTTTTAACTCCAAGGGCTCTTCATCCACCCATTAAATGCAGCCCCCACACAGCAATCGCACTGCACAACACATCAGGGGGAGGAGAGAGAAATTGCTTCTCTAGCTGAATTAAGCGGGGCATTCAGAGAGGCCTGACATGACTTTTAGCCAGGATAACGGACACTTATCATCCCATCAAAACAATGCCACCTCCTTCAGTCCAGTGTCCCTGGGCACCATGCTTGGGGAATGGTTCTGGAAATTCTGATCCAGAGAGAAAAGTACCACCTACTAGTCCACAAGCATCAGTTATAGCAGCAACCCAGTTTTCCTCCATATACTCCTCCCAATACTGATTAGCTTCTAACTAGATCAGACTACTAGGTGGTAATGCTGCTGCCACTTACTGTCAGGTAGATATTACAAATTAAGACTCCCGGTGAAATGCTAGAGCCTTATCACACTGTAAACAAGCAGGCTTGCGAATACATCTTTTAATCCAATAGAAATATTGCTCTCGACTTCGAGACAGTTTTGCCAACAAATACTACCTGTTAACTCTGCACGTTTATCACGTAGGAACATTTCTGCAGTGAAATGTCTGCTGCACAACCTGTACTCATTCACTCGTCCATCATTCTACATCGGTCATTCCAGTGACTAGTGAGCAGGAAGGGCTGCATCACGTCGCAATTCGCGGGATCTCCAATGCGAGTTTGCGACAACATGGCGACTTACAGCCCTTTCACAAAGTTCTTGATTCTGTGTGCAACTCAAAATATGTAAATGTTTTCTGCGACGTCAGTGAAATTTGCCAACGGGCAGGCTGAGGAACCGGGACTGCAGCTCGCCTTTCAGACCGGCTGCCAGGTGCCGCCCCGGGACGGCGGGCTGTTACCTGATCCCAGGCGCGGATGACGCTCCCGCAGAAGATGAAGACGAAGCCCATGGTGAGCAGGCAGGCCCACACCACCACGCCGAGGGCACGCATCCACCGCTGGAACAGCGCCTCCCTGCAGACCAGGCCGAACACGCCCCCCAGCACGGCCAGCACGCAGCCCACCACGCTCACGAAGGCGCAGTGGTCCCGGGCACTCTGCAAGGCAAGCAGATCGCAGCTCAGCCCCACCCAGACACACCCACCCCGGGCTTCCCAGCGAGACAGGTCTTTCCCAGGCGTCAAGATGAGCTCCGACAGTTCCTCTGAAAAATAGATCTAGAAAACTATATCTAGAAAATTCATAGGGCAGCCCTCTAAGCTTTCAATTTCCTAGCCAGGAGGAAAAGTTTCAAATCAGACTGAAATAGACATATTGACTGCTTGACTGTCTTTCTGGCCAGCCGACTGTCCGGTCCACGGGTCGATGGGCCAGCTGACTGGCTGTCTGATTGATTGATTGATTGGATTGATTGGGAGGTGTTCAAGAGAAAACTCTTTAGCTTGGCTATGTGGTATGAAATAGGAATGCAGCTGCGGCACTGTCTGGCACCTCCGGCATGCTGCAATCAAGATAACCGCAGCTGGCCAGAGGCAGTGGATTCCTGTGTCCTGTTACCCCTTTAAATGTGGCACCGACAGTGCACGGTGCTCTGAGGTTGGCACATCCGTGGAGCAGCTGGCTGTAGTCCTGTGCCGCCTCTGGGCTCCAAACCTGAGCTGCTGCCAGTTTCCACTCCGCCCCCTGACAGGCTTGGCCAGCGCGTTCCTGTCAGCTGCTCAAGAATAACATGTGGGAAATTGTTCGGATTGTCTTTTTTCCTACATACCTGCTGCATCTCTCCCCATCCTGCCCTGCCCCCTCCCCCCTCCCTCCCAGCCACATGGTTACAGCACTGTGGCGCTGTGTGTAGCAGACAAGGCTGGACCCATGATGTAGCAATTCTTTCTGGGAAACCCACTCACCTGCCAGCCCTGCTGATCCTATTTTTGTCGCGCAAACAGATCTTTCAAGATTTCTTGCCTTTTGGTCGGTTCTATTCAAATGCAAAACGGTGTTCAATTAGGCAAACACTCCGAGGCACTAATGCCTCTTCAGCTTCAACTTAATTGCAGCTCTTCAGGTTTAACATTACTTTAAATGTGCATCGAAATGCACGCAGTCATCCGAACATTTATACACAGGGCAAATTGCAGAATGGATGAATCACCCGCTATGTAGTAGGAAAGCTTAATGACTCCCCTCCTGCCTCAACTGACTTCGACACAGAGCTCAAGCCCTGCATTTGGTAATGAAGGAGCTGAGTCAGCCTCCGCCACTCTAATTCACAGGCATCTTTAAAAAACGGCATGTAGCAAACGCTTCGACCTGCCTCGTCTTTGAGGGCTACAAACGCGGGAAAAGACGAGGCAGAATTTTTTTCCCCACTAGCCCTTGGACTAGACAGGCCCCTCGAGTGAGGCACATAATCATTACTGCAGCCCGTCTCTCAGCCTCCGTGCTGAAGCACAGCATCACTGTCAGCACAGAAACCGCAGGGTGCAATTACCTCTACGCTCAGGGATAAGGGGTAGGTAGAGGTGTAGTGTTAGGGTTTTCAACTATATTATTTTGCCCAATTTAAGTGAACTGTAATCTGCCCAGCCTTGTGGTTACTGTCACCTAAAAGTGGACCTTTCGGTTGTCTGCAGGGCATATCTTCTCTAGAGCGAGCTGCAAATTTCAATACCACAACTGCGCAGGTCTTTGCCTCAACCTGCCAAAGCAGCCGAACCAGCAGCAGTGTGGAGGAGTGTTCCATGTGGACTCCAGAGCTGAGGATCATAAGGTCAGATCCTGGATGGGTGTCGTTGGTGTTGTTCCACTGGGCAAGGTCAGGTACTCCAAGTGCTCAGGTTAGGGTTCTCTATACAAGGCGCCGTCCTTCGGATGAGACGTAAAACCGAGGTCCTGACTCTCTGTGGTCATTAAAAATCCCAGGGTGTTTCTCGAAAAGAGTAGGGGTGTAACCCCGGGGTCCTGGCCAAATTTCCCATTGGCCCTTACCAATCATGGCCTCCTAATAATCCCCATCTATGAATTGGCTTCATCACTCTGCTCTCCTCCCCACTGAGAGCTGGTGTGTGGGGAGCGGACTGGAGCACTATGGCTGCCATCGCATCATCCAGGTGGGGCTGCACACTGGTGGTGGTGGAGGGGATCCCCATTACCTGTAAAGTGCTTTGAGTGGAGTGTCCTGAAAAGCGCTATATGAGTGTAAGCAATTAATTAATTAATGGGTCTCTCAGTTGGGATTGTAAATGAGTAATTGGCTGACCTGGTAAACTAAAGGAATAAAAAAAACACCTGACAAAGTAACGGATGGAGCGAACAAGCCCCCGCTTGCTGGGAGTGTGGTATCACCACGGGGTTCCCCACAGGGGAGCCTGCACAGCACCAGGGCCCGCTCCGGACCCGGGCTCTGGACCCGCGCAGGGCGGACGGCGGCACTCACCAGCCCGTAGGCGAAGAAGAGGACGAGCAGCGCGGCGCAGCACACGATGGCGATGCCCAGCATCAGCACCAGCAGCTGGTACTGGCTGATGCAGCAGTACTGGCGGTACAGCGCCACCTGCTTCAGCTCCTGCTCGTTCAGCAGGTACTTCCCCTTGGCAGGCATGGCGCTCCTGGGTCCCACTCACGCTCCAGACAGCATAGCAGAGCAGGAGGAACAGAGGAGGCCCTTTCCGCTTCTCCCAGGTCCGTCGCTTTCCGATACTCCTGGTGAACCGTTTCGTCTCTTTTGGCGCAGAAGTTTCCTCGCGGCTTGAGTGCAATCCGGTTCGATTTGTGGGGAGTTTTTCGTTTCACATCTTGAGCACCACCCCAGTCCTCTCTCTCTCTCTGTCTCCTCCGATCCCAGGCAGGCGTGGGACTGCAGTGCTCAGGCCAGCAGACGGGCACGGTTCATTCCTGCCGGCCACTAAGCGCTCCTCGGCAACATCCTCGTGGAGAGTCTCGGAACAGGGAGGGGGGGGGTGGAAGAGACGAGGTTGTCAAGGAACGCTCCCGGATTCGAGGGGTTTTCCCCAAGGCTGAGCTGTGTCTCTCCCGTTGCCTGATACTCCTCACACACTGCCAGCTCCCTCAATGCAGGTCCTGAGGAGGACACACAGAGTTACTGTCGGAGGCGAGGAGGGGAAACGATCACACACGCGCACACATGAAAAAGACACGCCAGCACCCAGAGCCACAGAGGAACACGGGGCAGTCCACCAGCCCCACACTCACACCCTTCGCAGGCAGCTCGGCTGGGACCGCCGGCTTTTTTGGGGACGCCTGCTATTGTCGACCAGTCGTAAAAATCACACTGCGCCCTCTCCCTCCTCTCTTTCGTGGTCTTTTCATTACCTTGGGACCAGCCCATTGAGGAGAGCTCCCTGAAAGAGCTCCGGGCGCGCGGGATTACTCAGACAGAATGAACGCTTCACAAAAAAAACTGTAAAAACAGGGGCTGGCTGAAAAAGCCAAGAAAGTTGTTTAAGTGCTCAGTAGAGAACTTGTTTCAAAAGCCCTGGCGCTCCTATTAAGACTTGGACAGAGCCTGTGATCTCCCCCATCTGTAAAAACAAGCGTCAGTCGGAGATAAAGAGCTGCGTTTTAATTAGTCTCGCGTTGTTAACTTTTAGCACGCCCTTGCTAACACAAAGGCTTGGGCTCCTGAAGAATTGCTGATGCCCGAGTTACAAAACCACAACACTGCAATGCTAAAGCCCACTGGTGGAAATGATGCATAGGAGAGGGGAAACAGCCTTTTCTATATTTAAATGATCCATCATAATTGCTGTTTGTGTTTCTCTGTTTGCCTGTGAGACTGACTGCAATGCCAGACTTAGATGAGCTACAAGTGATTAAAAATGTCTAAATATACCCAGAACACTTTTCATTTAAGTGAATTAACATCCTTTCACACGAAAGCCTGGACTAATGGCTTTGTCTTCCTGGACTCCAGTTTCATCTTAGTTGAAAAAGTACCTTTTTTTAAAGAAGTATTCAATTACACTTGGCTGTCCAGTATTTTCAGAGGTGTCAATTTTAGGAATATTTATTTTTACTGCTGCACTCGCAGTTGGCATTTTCCCTTTAGAACAGAATGGCTTAGATTGCAGATCCAGATGTGGATGTCTGTTTAAAACTTCTTGCGTTGGTGAAAAATGAAAGATCTGACAGAAGGTTTTTTCTAAAATACAAAGGCCCCTCTGTTTTAAGTAGCTCCCACGGTAATTGAAATCCCAAGCTTATTAAGCCAGAACTCAATTTTGGCCTAGGTCCTGTACATGGACAGCAGCCACACTGCTTTTGCTTTTTAATAAAAGAAAACTGCAAGATACCCAGTGCTAACGGGACACTCCATTGCTCAGAGCTATTAGCGTTTTATTTAATCTCCAACGTGCTGACGTAGAGGCTGTGACATCTGAGACAGTTTTTCCAGGAACAAACAGAATTGTACACTCATCTATTTCCTTCTTAGGACACCACTGATCACATGGGCTGATGCCAATGGTGGTGGTGCCGGAGCTAACTCAAAATAACATTTTGCACACCTGCTACATAGTCCTTGATATGCCGAAGTCACTTTACAATCTTTGAGATGCATTCATGCACTGTTGCAACACGTCTGCTGTAACGTTTTCATTTTCCAAATCAGCTTTTAAGGCAATGCTGTTTTTTTGGCCCGATGTTTGTTTGCATTGAAGAAGTTCCTGAACCCAAGCCCCCTTTTCCAGCATAACTCACAACTCACACTGCTTTCTCGCACACGGAGACGCTGGAGCCCAGAGGCCAGTGAGGGTCTCCGACACGCCTGGCTGTCTGCAGTGACTAAACCCAGACTTTTAAGAGATCCTCTCTGCTGTCATGAGCCTTCAGTGTAAGAGGAAGTCTGTGTCGTACAGAAAGCCTGTGATCCAGGGCTGGATCTTAATGCCGAAGGCTACACTACACTCTGACCCTACAACCAACCAATATCCATCTGAAAACTGTCAAGAACATGATCTTCCTGTGATCCACCCTGGGACCTAGATTTTATTTTCCAATTGGTATTTACGGAAGAACAGGGGGACATATGGGGGTCAGCAGAGGGGGTAATCACCAACTGAGGAGGGGCAGAGCTTGTGAGAGGGCAGCACATCGCTGGCCAGGACAGGACAGGGAGAGCTGGCTATCATGGAACAGGTGGTGCTTTTAAAAACTACAAATTAAAGTTCTTAGAAACTACAAATTGCAAATTCTGCATTGCAGACCTTACAGAATATCTGGCAATGCACACAAGAGAATCATTGTTCAATGCAATTTACAATGTAATTCTTTTGAGTTTTTTTCACTTGAAATCTTCTGGCTCTGAGGGCATGCTAGAAAGACAATAAGGCCTCTTTGAAGCTGATGTTGGGCAGCAAGACGAAATTAGCACCCAAACAAAGCCAGGCTACGGACCATTGTCGTCACGGTGATTCTTAGAGACGACTGCGGAATGGAACAGAACACAGCTTATCAAAAAAGCACTGCTAAGCTCCATGAGGTGTGAGCACACCATCTCATCAGCACTTCCTGTTCAGCCGTATTGCACAATCTGGAGGCAGACAAGTCTCTTAAACCAACATTGTAGCAACACACAGACAGAGGTCTTCAGATCACCACCTGCTAATGTGTTCAGATCGCAAGCCTGCAACAGGCCTATTAGTTGGAACAGGTTCCGGAAAACAACCTGTTGCAGGAAGATAAAGCCGCCATTTCCTGCCGCACAAAAGGGATTTTTACAGCTTTGTCCTTCATTTACTGAGCACAAATGATCTGCCAGGTGCAATCTCTGCAAGGGACAGGGGCAGGTGTGCACAGCTGGGGCAGAAAAAAGCAACACAATTTGCACTGGAGCAAAGGGAAAGTGGGCCAGAGAGTGGGGAGGTGTAACTGGACACATCCTCCGGCTGTAAGACCCAGATCCTAACTCTCATGCCTATCAAAGGCCAGGAGAGACGTCTTTTAAACCTGCCAAGTAGCAGAAGCACATGGACAGCCTCAGGACCCTTCGTGATAACCCGGGTTCCCAAGACAGTGCCTTCCAGCCTCCTTTAAGACTCCCTGATTCCAAACGGGTCTAGTGACAGAGGACCTTTACATTCAATTGAACTGTCCTCATGCTTCCTCTTCCAGCTGGAATTTATCAAGAACCTGCCCTATTGTGCATTCATTATTAACCTTGCTCAGTAACTGGGATTCTCCACAAACCTTACCCCTTAATCCACCAGTGCAGGCCCAGAGACCTGTAGCTCAGGAGCCTGCTGCCACCGTAGTTTATTAACCCTGTTTATCCACTTCATTAACAGGTTTATTAGCCCAGTTACACCTCCGCACTCTCTGGGCCGCCTTCTCAACACGCAAATTGTGTTGCTTTTTTGCGCCCAAACTTTGCACGCCCTCACCGTGCTGAGTTTACACCCAGAGCCTTAACAAACAGGAATCCGTGACGAGCGACAGTGTCCAGATCATGTACGTCTGAGCAGAGGATAAATTAAAAAGGCTCTTGACGAACACTTTGAATCTTCTTTGCGGACAGAGTGTCCAAAAAAGTGCATGATATTTACCACTCATTCCTACATAAAGGAATTAACCGAATGAAATCAATAACCAGAGGAGCGCAGATAAAGGCGCGTACAGTGACAAATGACTCCCTCCTCTCCTGGCTGGGCGCATTATAAACAGGACTTGAAACCGCCTGAGCGCTTTGTGGGGTTCTATTCTGAAACTAATGAACATCGGAGCCAGTGCACTGTGATGCAGGGCTTATTTATCACAAAGCGGCTCGATATCATTACAGCGCGAAGCCCAGTGACTCTTTATGGTACAATTGTAAAGTTGCCATGGCAAAGGACGAGGCCAGTGAAAAACAGTCCACGCTGGAAAGGCAGCAAGAGCCAGACTGCTGATGGCTGTGCAGGTTCGGAGGCCAGGCTCCATACCGCACCCCTCTCTCTGTGTGGCCTCCTCACACATTCCTCCTTTCAGCCCCCGCAAGCCCTTCCAGACGGGGGTCCCAGCCAGCTGGGATTCAGATCGTGGCTGTCCCCCCTCACGTCTGTGGGGGGGCAGGTGGGAGTAGCCTGTCTGCACTTGCTTGTTCACCACCTGTGGTACCGGCAACGTTTCTGGGACAATTCCAAATTGAATAGAATGAAAAGAAATCGGTTTGACACTGAAATTCTGCAGGGCATATGCTCATTTTTCCCCACGGGCATTCTGTTTACTTTGTCTTGGATTTCGGCTGTGCGTCGTGCTTAATTTATACTTATAGCAGGGGGAGACAACACTACAATTTCACAAAGCAGACAACCATTCAGCTGTGGAGAACATTAAGGGTTCCCAAGAACACTGGAGTAGCTCAACAGCGCGTCAGTTTGTCACTTGATTCTCTGCTCGGTTCCTGTAACAGACTGGTAAGACATGCACCAGGAAGGCTTTGGGATATAGCAGCTCTTAGTGCTGCGTTACAGTTCATAAGAACAGGGAGGGGAAGAGCCTCACAACAGGAGAGGGAATTTAAAGGGCCGGAGTACCTGGAAAACGGTACCGGAGCATTCGGGCCCGGACTACCAGACGCAGAGACAGTGTTTACCCCCGCACTATCAAACTGTTAAACTCCCAGCCTCTCTCACTCTCACCTCACCTCTCACCTATGATCTGAACCTCAGAGTGCCTTCTTCCTTTCTTTCTTTCTTACCAAAAACTCACACATTGAAAATCTACCTCTACCACACATGTCAAAAACCTCACTCCCCATAATTTCTATCCCTTTATTTCATTCTGTTGATGCATATTTTTGCACATAACCTGTTACCTTTTTGTTGTTTTGCACATTGCCTGTTGTTTTTTGCACATTGCCTGTTGTTGTTTTTTGCACATTGCCTGTTGTTGTTTTTTGCACACTGCCTGTTGTCTCTGTCTTTCTTTTGCTACACAATTGTATTGTTGTTGTTGTTTTTTTCTCTTTGTACTACTTATGTCCGAGAGCTAGCTTAATAGCATTTCGTTATACCATATACCATGCGTATGAGTGTAATGACAATGAACTTGAACTTGAACTTGAACTTCCTGACAGCCCCCGA